GATTTGCGAGCAGGCTTCCCTGAGGCCTGCTGACACAACCACACGCACACACAAAGCCAGCCCGGCAGGCGCAACCCACCGAGGGGCCGGACTTGGGCAGGTGGGTTCTTCCCGAGTGCGGGTGCGAGGTGCATCGTTGTGTGTCAGCCAGCCAAGCCAGCCAGCAGAGAGTGAGTGCCCAGCAAGCAAGCGACAGTCTGGGCAGCAGGTGCGAGACACACGCGGTACGTACCCTGTGACTCTCTCGTCCTTCCTGCTCTCAGACGGGGCTTAGGTTAGCTCCGTCAATTTCACACGCCCTGGGCTTTACTCTTGTCTCCGAGACTCCGTCCCCTTGTCCCCCCCCCGTTTCTGACAGAAGCAAGGCGTGTTTCTCGCTAACCTAAGCCGTTCCCGGTGACTTTTGCTGCGTCGCCCGTCGCTGCGTTTCGCACTCGGCTTGTTAATCATCCTTGGCCGTTATCCCCATGGCCGCCCTTTTCATTGGCAGGTTCGCCTACTGCCTTGCCTGCCCACTGTATTGTCCTTCACTCTAGGGCAAGGACGTGCATCACAAATCATACACCCCCCGCAGGTCCAGCTCCACGTCCAAGTCCAGCACAGAGTCACAAACCCTCCGATGACTCTATCGGCCTCGATACCCTTCCACTTGCGTCCCTGGGCTTCATGCCGCTCACAAATCGGCCAATGGATGCTCCGCGTTTCCGTTGTCGACTCATCGTGTCATCAACATGATCTCGTTGCCGTTGTCGCGGAGCGGCTGTCAACCATCGCCCTTCGGGTCTTCCGCTCATCGTCAATTGAAGATCAGGAGCCATGGAATCCGATACCGCTAAACGTTTCTCCTCATGCCACACATGTACATTGAGGCTTGGCCGTTACCCCCTCTAACCTGATCTGAGGAAACCGAGAGAGCCCATCCCCATCGCACGATGCTTTCCTCAAACGAGCGAGGCACTGCAAGTCGTTCCATACGGGGCTTCGAAATGTGGAAGCCTAGCAATCGCGAGGAATCTCGAAAGCGAAAGGACCACGAATGCCGAATGCATGCTCCGCCCCCATTTCAATTCATCCGTCCCCGTCCTAGTGAGCGACCGGCCTCCTTCGGCACCGTCCAAGACGCGAAAGCGAAGCGAACGAAGAACGTCGGGAACGAGCCAATCCTGTTGCTCCAAGAACTGCGAACATGCCACGCACGGTGCACTGCCCGGCTTGCGCGGTCGCTGCAAGTGAGTGGCCCACGCCAGGCACATCACCCAGCAACAGAGGAGCAGTGCATCTCTCCCCATACGCATCCCATCAGCTAGGATAAGGATAGTAGGGCTGAGCAATGCGCATGCATATCTACCTACCTCATTGCTGTCGCAACACTGGTGCCGAACCCCTAATTGACCAAGGTTTTCGTATCCATCGTATACTGTCCTGTGCATGGTTGCCTTCCGCTCGCAAAGCACTGACGACTCTGTTTGTCGGTGCCTGGCTGTGCAATCTCCATGAGGACCAGGCTTTCCCGGAGGCATTCCATCCAAAGCACGCGAGCGGTCGCTTCGGGAGACGTGACGGTCATTGAGGCAGGGTCATTCTACGATATCTTGCTTCCTCTTGTAGCGGTCATCAACTTTGAATGCCTAGATCCTGATGCTTCGCCAGTTTTCACACCCCTCCCCGGCCGCAAGGTCACAAGGCCGGCCGTAAACCCCACGGCTTCCGACTCGTGCCGCCCATTCCCCGATGTGCTCCGGGCTACTGGGTGGTCACCAAGCCACAGACCCCAGCAGAGCTAGCTATGGGGTCCATCACAGCACACGAGATGACCTCCGGGCCGGCTTTTCACGATGCCCTCACTTTTCTGCCCGCCGTGGAGACAACCCCTCGGTGGTTGCAAAGAATTGCAGCGGGCCGCTAGACTGTCATGCCTCCAGGACTGATAGGCCTGCCAATTGGAACGAGCCATGAGCCGCAAAAGTCACATTGTGCCCATCCCGCTCTCACCAAGGATATCGCATCCCGTTGTCAGATAGTGCTGTTCTCCGATGGGTATTTCAATTGCAGCTTGCCGCGACTTCATTGCCAGAAGCAGTAACCAGCGGCCTTTGCGACGCGGTTTCATTCTTGTCATGACGTGGGAATAGCCATCGGATCCATCGCTAATCCCGAACGCCGCTCCGTTTTCTGTTCGTCAGTCAGCGGGAAAAACGGAAGGCCAGCGATGACGCCTTGCCCTGAACCCGCCGCAAAGGGTCCTCGTGGTCCTAGCAGTTGATCTCATCTTTGCCGACTAGTTGAGTCTAATTGATACCAATGCCCTTCCCTTGAGGAAGCATCTTACGGTATCGAGTCACGGCATTCAAAACCCGCCGGGGCCCGACGTTGCCGCCGCCGACCCTGAGGAGCATGACATAAGAAGGGGGGGGGGTGGGGGGTGTCTCGAAGAATTGACAGTCCGGCCTTTTCGGGGATACGCGCTCCCAGAGACGCGCTATTGCTCAGCAATGGTTTGATCGATAATCATGACGTGCACAGGTGCATCCACAACCGTGATCCAAACTTTATTGCAAAGCTTCTTGCACCATTCGGACGCGACGTTATGTGAATACCGAGATGGTGTAATTGATCTCGCAGATCTCGAGTCGTCGAAGATTGAGCCCATGCGCTTTCAATGCGATGGAATTGGCATCATGGCAGACGAACAGGCCCAACGGGACTCGCCTGGTTTCACGACAGAGAGTCGGGGTCGGGCGCTGGTCTGTACGCTGCCCGCATGCGTTGCACGCCCTCGAGCAATCAGAAACTCACCCTAGTGATACGATGTGTTTAGGCAACGGGGGTTTCGCTGGCGTGGATTCGTAAATCTGAGGCCCAGCGATGCGGTGCGGGAACGGGGTCAGTAAGCGACACCCCCTTGGCCATAGCGCCGCGCAATGCGCCCCCAGTAAGGCCAGAAAGGGGGCTTTTTATTGCTGACGATGCTGGCACACGTCGTACGTCGCCCTATACCGCGAGCACATGAAGCACCCCGCGGCGAATCCGAAATTTGATGTGCCTCCCCTTTTCAAGGGCCGCAGCAAGGCACTCTATTTTGCATTCCCTTGGGCGGACAATGACAAAGGGATAAGCCTCTATGGCGAACCGGACTGAGGCGCCCTCGCCAAACCCTTGCCGGCCGAAATGACCCACTCCTCATGCTTGAGGCCTTCTAGCGTTATGATGGCCCTTCTCCCGTCCTTCTAGCGCGGAAGGCGGCGGGGTCTCGCGCCAGGACCGTGACGCCGATGGGATCCACCAAAGCGCACACCTTCGGATCCCCCCCCCCCCTTCCCAGTCCTCCTCGCTTTTGCAGTGCAAAGGATTTTCCCCTGTGCCTGTCAGTCATGATGGTGGAGACTTGGATTCCTTCGCCATGGCGTGACTCAACCCCGGCCGACATCTTGGCTCCGACCTCCTCAGTGGAAACACCATCGCGAGTGTGTTCCACGGCGTGGTCTGGCCGGCGGGGTCGGTGGAGTTTCTCGCTTCCTCTTTTTTTTCTCTTTTTCTCTCTTATTGTCTCCCCGTTCCACTGCCACGTCTTCGTTGACCCGAGTGTTCCTTGTTTCCTCGTCCTCGAGACTCCGCTTCGGCGGCTCGGCCCCGGAGTGGAGATGCTGGAAAGGGTTTGTAGGTCAGGCGGCGCGCTAGGGAGGGGTGAAGACTCTGCTGGCAGGATTTTTTTTTTGCTGCTGGAGTGCGGGACATCGTGAGGTTGGGGGGGGGGGGGACGCCGCCGTGAGCCGAGGGGAACGTGGTGGTAGTGGGTGGTGCGTTCAGTGTGGCTGGATGCCGAGGCGCCGAGTGGCAGTCGAATCGACTTGCCTCTTGTCTTCTACTTCTTCTGCGCAGAGGGCACGCCGAGGCTTGGTGGTTGTTGTGAGTTCGTGGCGGGCCGAGAGCCCCGGGGTGTGGCGCGGCGTATTTGCTGCAGGATGCTCCGGGGGTTGGTGATTGTGAGATTTGGTGTTGATGGTCTTGGGCTCATTTGCGAACGTGGCAGTGGTTCATCCACTACTGTGGTGATCTGTACGCGGTGGAGAGAATCTCCTTTCTCCGACGTTCTTGTAAAGCCTTCGGTAGTGCGTGGCCAAGCCCGGAAGGCTGGGATGAGAACGCCTTGAAAGGTGACAGACACTGTCGATAGTTCATATTGCACGGATCGAACACGCGTTGAGCAACGGTTGTTGTCGTCATACCACGAAAACCTTCCAGACAGATATCCCTAACGTATCAAAATATTGGCCTTGGGCTGATCTATCCATCCATCAAGTCACAAAAACATATTTCGATATCCTCCGCTAGAGAATTTGCAGGTGTCGTACAAAACGTCCGTATCCCATCCACCCCATCGTCAAAGTCTATGGACCGAACAGACGGCCTCCCAAAAAAAAAAAAAAGATCGTATCGATGAGATGCTTCCTACATGTGACCACAGCAGGGCTCGAACCTGCAATCTCCTGATACCAACAGGTCACGATCTCTCGTGTTTCTGTATCGTAGTCAGACGCCTTGCCATTGGGCCATGCGGCCTTTGATGTCGACGGGGCCTTGTCGCGGGATCTATGATGGGTGGAGATGGGGCTTTGCAGGAGTATGACCGACTCGGGCGTGGGCCGTGGGCCGTGAGAGGGGCGGCGCTGTCAGGTCTGGGACCGGAATCTCATCCATGTCTTCGGCCTTGAAACCGATGTAGACGTTGTGGAGAATCATCTCATGGAAAGCGGGACAAGCAGTCATGGCACGAGCGAACTGATATGCTGGGGCTACAAGCAGACGCATAAAACGGCATCACGGGGCGAAGAACAAGTCTGGAGAATACGAATAAATTCACTCGTCTTGGGTATCTATCCAAACATCTAAAACCCATCCGTCGTCGCCCTCAGCTTCGTCTTGGTCCTCTTCCTCTTGCCACCCACCTCCTTGTTCTCTTCCATCTCGAGCAGTGCCTCCCTCTTCTTCTCGCCTACAATCTTCAGCGTGTCCCTGACAACGCGCGTCTCGAGGTTGACACCCTCCTCTGTCCAGGCATCCATCGTTCGTCCCACGCGTGCCTCGATGGCAAGGACGAGCTCCACATCACGCTGTCCGACAAAGGTGACGGCCTCACCCTTGCGGCCGGCACGCGCAGTACGACCAACGCGGTGAATGTAGTCGTCGGGGTCGCGGGGAATGTCATAGTTGACAACAAGAGCCACCTCGGGGATATCAAGACCACGCGAGGCGACGTCCGTGGCAACCAGGATGCGGGCGGCGGCGGCGCGGAAGCGGGCCAGGTTGTCGGTACGCTGGCGCTGTGGCAGGCGGGAGTGCAGACTCGTGACGCGGTGGTCGAGCAGACGGAGCAGGTGGTGAAGGAACTGAGCAGTTGTGGTGCGGTTGCAGAAGACAATGACCGTCTTCTCGACGTTGGCGGCCGTCAGCAGGAAGGTGTGCAAGTAGTGCTCGCGGTGAGTGACGGGCACCTGAATGTGCTTCTGAGCGAGGGTGGTAGGGATGGCGAGCATCTGCGTGTCGACCTCGCAGATGAAGACGGGCTCCTTGCCGGGCTTTGGAGGCATGTCCTTGAGGGCGCGCACTTCGGGAGTGATGGTGGCGGTGAAGAGGAGCGTCTGACGCTGGGCCGGTGGCGGCAGGGCGGAGAGGCACTCCTCGACGGCGGGAAGCATGCTGCCGGTGCCGGTACCGTCAAGTAGGCGATCGGCTTCGTCAAGAACAACGAAGCGGATGCGACGGAGGCCACAAATGGTATCCTCGCCAGACGTGCGGATGTGATCGGCGAGGCGACCGGGCGTCGCAATGACAACGTGGGGACGTGAGGCAAGGGCAATGGCCTGAGGGCGCATGTCGTTGCCGCCAGTGATGAGGGTGACCTTGAGACCCTGGGGCGACCCGATGGCCTTGAACTGCTCAAAGATCTGCAGAGCCAGCTCTCGGGTCGGCGTCAAGACGAGGCCGTAGATGGCGGAAGGGTCTTCGGCCCATTTCTGAAGAATGGGCACCGCGAAGGCGACCGTCTTTCCGGAACCCGTCCTGCTGCCACCAATGCAGTCCCTGCCCTTGAGAATCTCGGGAATACACCCTTTTTGAATACCCGTGGGCCTCTTGATGGCCATGTTAGCCAGAGATTGTGTGAGCCATGGTCGGACGTTGAGAGAGGAGAATGTCGTGTCCGGGTCAACGGGCGCCGTGATGCCAGCCGGCGCGGAGAGCTTGGGTTCGGGTCTGGAGGACGGTGTGGCGGTGGTCGTCTTCTTCACTCGGGACGGTGCCTGTATTGTAGATACGATTCGCTGGAACTCTTCCTCATCGTCTTCGTCCTCATCGTCCAGCGCTGGAATCCTCGGCGGCGAGGTCTTGCGTCTCTTGCGGGAGCCAGCATCGTCAAGCTGGTCCGACTCGGCATCGGAGGAGTGTTCAGACTCGGACGAGGAGGCGTGTTGGTCAATGTTGGCGCCCTGATCGGAATCGTCAGATTCGGCGGCGAAGCGCTTGAGATCGGCAGTGGACGGCATCTCTCGTAGGGTTGTTCTGAAAGACAGACGCGTGATGCTGAAGTGGTTCCTCGTCTGGTTCCTTGCCTGGTTCCTGCTCGCCTGGGAAATTTTCGTTATCCAAAATTTTGGCAGGTGCATTGGGGAAGCAGCCACTGCCGGATAAGGTAGCGGGGTGCCATTGACAGGGGTGCCAGGTGACGAGCACTGTGCTGTCCAGCCAATAAGGGACCCTAGCTTCCTGGAAGCTGCCTTCTGCGCGGATAGACGCGCGCCTAGGGAAACGGCGATGAATCGCTTGCTTCCTCCTCCTATGCCAATGCATCATGCTCGCCTTGGAAGCTGACGCACACACCTTTTCGTGACATCAGTTCGTGACATCAATTCATGCCATTCGCGCCGAGCCCCTTCGACCCGAGCTGAGGGACCTGCCCGCCTTGTGCCTAGCTACCTGATAGGTACGATGCATCGACGTGGTATCGACAGGCCACTAACGCGGGTGTCGTGTCACCCCAAGACATTCCAAATCTCACTCAGCGCCAGTCCCACCTCGCTCAGCCTTATGGCCGTGACCCAGACCCAACCCGACGAAGGGCTTGGGTCGCCGAATGTGGTCGTAGACTGGCAAGCTGAGGGCGTCGAAGGACCACATTGGCGAGGGAGCACAGAAACAAAATGGCAGCCGGACTTCAGCCAGTGACGAGACGGAGGGGTGTGCTCACGCCCACTGTACGAGGTGCACATGCCTGAGATGAACGAGTGGGAAGAAAGCGGAGAAGCCGTGTTGGATGCGCCACGGACGGTTGGGCACCCAGATCCAGGCAAAGGTAAACGAAACCGTGACGAACAACGCCGGCAGATTCGCGGCATGTCGTAATGCGTTCGCCTCGCGAATATGACGGCCGCCCTTTCCAATCACCAGTACCATGGCTGCTGTGTTCGTGGAAGAGGCCCAGGTGGCCAGAGGAGATCCAATGGCCCCTCCTGTCTGATAGTAAACGAGTCCTCCACATTGGCAAGGGGGGGCCGCGGAGAGTCGCAGCGTGGAGGCCTGTTCGGAACTCGGAGAAGGGCCCTTGGCTGGAGGGATTTCCCCCAATCGTGGACGCCGGCTCTCGCCTGTTGGTGATGCCGAGTTGATTTTCTGCTTCATGCAGCAATGCAGCAGCAGCAGCAGCAGCAGCAGCAGCAGCAGCAGCAGCTTCGCAAGGCCCCTGGTACATGCATGGTCAGTGGCCCTTTCCGAGTCGACACTTTCCAAGGTCTCCTCTTGTGTTTCTGGTGTTTTTGGTGTTTTTGGCCAGGTCAGATGCCAAGGCTGCTTTTGCGCTCGTGTACGAAAGGCACGAAACGTAGCCCGTGGGCATTGATTGATGGATGGATGTAATGATCGTCACCTCGTCCCGTGTCCTAGGGGCGGCAAAAGGTACATAGGACTCACAGACCCGAGGGCGAGGGGGGGAAACTGGCCACTGTGCCACAGTGCTCCCCGACAGCAGGATACCGTTGGATTAGCGCCAGACCCTGCCCATCGGCCCCTCTGCCCCTCCACTGCCCGCCCACTGGATCCCCTGTTTGCACCTGTCTCTTGCCCTTTTGCTTCCCACATTCCCGCTGGACCCGCAGTCGGCCAAGCAAGCACCACCAAGCACCACCAAGAACCACGCACCTCAATCTGATGTGAGGTGCGGGTGGGAACTTGCTCTCCCCGCCTTTGCCATTCCCACACACGACCCAACCGAGAGAGATCACGGCAAGCTGGACCTCTCCTCCCGCCTCTTGCCTCTCGCCTCTCGCCTCTCGCCTTTCGCATTTGGTCCTTCACCTGCTTGCCCTTCGCCTCCAGCGCTTTGCTCGTACGTTCGCTATCGGCACACTACCCTCTTCTGCTTCTTCTTCTTCTTCGTCTCTGCTTAGACACATCGCCTGCTGAGACATATCGCCTGCTGAACACACGAGCCAATCAATCCCACCTGAGAGCATAGCCAGGCCAAGCCTTTTCGCCCTTTCCATCCATTCAGTCCACGTGCGACCGTTCCAGCTATTGACGACACCCTGCCGCTGCCTGCTTTGTTTGCCGAGACTCGACCTGAATCATCCCTCACAAAGACGACAACTGCATCACCCTACTACGCCGCGAGACCCGGTTCCGTTACACCTACGCAGCCTTGCCCGTAGCAGCAGCAGCAGCAGCAGCAGCAGCACAACCAAAGGACTCGGGCAGTTCTTCTTCCGGCCAGCCCACGAGCTGAGCACCCTTATTCGAGTACAACGAGGCCCGACCCTCGTGTCTGCTCTTTGAGCCACCCTCTGCCCAGTCGCTGCTGTCACGGCAGTACCGCTGCCGACCACGTCATGGCGGACCAGAACCCATCCCAACCCACCAACATGGATCCTACACCATACCAGGTTGGAACTCCCTATGATGCCGCCTTGCTACCACGAGGCTCATTCTAACCAAATGTTTCCAGATCCCCAGTCTGTCCCCGGCAAACTCCCAAGGCAACGTTCCGACCATGTCCTCCCCAGTCCCTCTTCTACGCCCTGCGATACCTGGCGCCCGATCGAGTGGTGCCCGAGCACCAAGATTGGGGCTCGCCATCCCGCCGTCCCCCAATGCGAAGCCTGTGGGCAACCAGCCCGCCCCGCCGGCTCCTCGTGCGTTGCCCACCCTACACCTTGCCACTCCGATGGGCAGCCAAGGCTTGCCTTACGAGCAGCCTCCTCGACTGAACACGAGTGTTCAGGGCCACTCTGCCAGCGGAGGCAGCGAGAGCAGCGCGGCCCACTCGAGATCGGGCAGCTTTGGACCCCTGGATGGACGTGCCAGTAACCCCACCTCGGCCGGTTCGCAATACTCGGCTCTTTCCTTTGCCTCCCAGTATGGTATTGGGGGGTCAAGACCCCAGGGCACCCCTGACCCGGTATCCGCCGTCGGGTCTCTCTACTCGGAACGTAGCGAGGGTGGTGTTGGTATGGAGAGAGACAACAGCCTCCAAGGCTTGGAACAGTTTGATAAGCTTAGTTTGGAGAAGGCGAGGTCTCTGGACGTGGAAGACCTCGACGATGATGGCTGGAGGATTGCCAGTCTCGAGTCTAGGATCGAAGAGCTCGGCAACCTCGGCGAAGGTGCTGGCGGTGCCGTGACAAGAGCCAAGCTCAAGGGCGGCAAGACTGTCTTTGCCCTGAAGGTGAGTAAAGCGACCCGAGCCTGAGATACAGGAGGCTGACATCGCTAGGTCATCACGACGAACCCCGACCCTGATGTGAAGAAACAAATCGTTCGAGAGCTCAACTTCAACAAGGGCTGTGCATCAGAGCACATTTGCCGGTACTACGGCGCCTTCGTCGACCCTGCCACTGCCACCATTTCTATCGCCATGGAGTACTGCGAGGGTGGCTCGCTCGACAGCATCTACAAAGAGGTCAAGAAACTCGGTGGCCGCACCGGCGAGAAGGTCCTCGGCAAAATCTCAGAGGGCGTTCTGCGTGGCTTGACGTATCTCCACGGACGACGCATCATTCACCGTGACATCAAGCCGTCTAACATCTTACTCTGCCGCAACGGCGAGGTCAAACTGTGCGACTTTGGCGTCTCGGGCGACTTTGGAACCAAGGGCGAGGCCAACACGTTCATCGGTACCAGCTATTACATGGCGCCCGAGCGAATCACGGGACAAAGCTACACCATTACCTCTGACGTGTGGTCCACTGGCGTTACACTGCTTGAGGTTGCGCAGCATCGGTTCCCATTCCCAGCCGACGGGACCGAGATGCAGCCTAGGGCAGGACTCATTGACCTGTTGACCTATATCGTGCGGCAGCCGATACCCAAACTCAAGGACGAGACTGATGTCACTTGGAGTGACAACTTCAAGTACTTTATCGAGTGCTGGTGAGTGAGCCTCGTCAGAGGGTACTGGGGAGTGTTACTAACTATTCTCCAGTCTCGAGAAGGACCCAACCCGCCGTGCAAGCCCATGGCGGATGCTCGACCACCCCTGGATGGTCGAGATGCGTTCAAAGCGTGTCAACATGGAGAAATACCTGTCACAAGTATGGGGTTGGGACAACCCAAAGGCGGAAGCGTAATGTGGCTCGACCTGCAGCGGAACGGAGCGAAGCGAAAGTCAATACTCGGACAACTGAACAAAACTGAACAAACGCTAAAGGTGTATTTATCCATCCCCGCAACGACTCGCATATGAGGCGCATACCATGGCGGCGCCTTTTGAATGCGACTTCACGGACGGATCCTGGCATGGCCCTTCTTGGCACCATATTGACGGGATATGATTGGCTATCTGGCACTGGTGGGCGGAAGAGAGACCGCCATCCTGGATTTGAAATACGGAGGATGAACATGACAGAAAGGGACAAGGTTGATCTTGACCACAGCATGAATGCTGTCAACGAGCGGCTCTCTGATATTGTTTGTCGGCGAGCAATTAGCTGATCACCACGAAATTGAAAACGAGTGGCCCTATCCTCGTGTGCATAAATTTCGCCGTCGGGCTGGGCGATCTACCTCAGGCTGTATCATGAAGTAACCTGGGGGTGATTGACGGGAGCCGTTGATGCGAAGGA